TCTTCCGATTCTAATGTACTAGGATCATGAGCTCGGAAAGAGTAATGGGTTGCCAATGGACATATAGTTAAGGAGATTGAATGAACATGTTTTCGCTGTCCTCTTTTGCGAGTGATGAATGGAAAATGTTGACCTTGGCATTGAGCCTCCTTTCGGGTCATTGATATATCAATTCCTTTGTGACACAGAAAATCATGGCCTAATACTTCATTTACGTTTAGTGGGTTCAATTTCCTTGTTAGCCAAATGGGATGCTGGAATTCCTTGGACTCACCCAAATCAATTTCTAAACAAGCCACTGTCCCAACCCGTGATACCCACTAATGATACCGTGATACCTCAAAATCTCAACAGGGAATACGTCCGACCTTGCAATGCTCGCCTTTGCACCTGAATCTAACAACATCCTACAATCTATTCCACACACGTCGTTTCAAAATAGGAGGCCCCTGCTCTTCTTCCCTGACATAGCTTATTTTCGGGAGGAAAGGGGTTTTTTCTGGTTTTCCGAATACTTATGGACGTCTTGCCACAAACAATAATTTTCCCAATGGTTTAGGATGCCGCACAGGAAACATCCTTGCTGAATTCCGATACTAAATTGAAACAGTTTGGTACATTGGCAAAATGCTCTTCCTAATTACACATTAAACATACCTTTGGCGATGTTGTAGGGACCCATTTTTCACAAACGGTGAACTGTTGCTTCCTTGATATACATTCTTTCGAAAATCCTGAGGGCTTTTAAAGTAACTGAAATCCTCCATACGGGAAAATCAACGCTGGAATCCCATATCAACTAGGAATCACTTGACGGAATAGTTCCGTTAGATCCCTTCTTTGCCAGCTCCGGCTCCACTTGTACGCTAAACAAGGACTTTCAAGCCACCCTATCCCGACTTTCCTCTTTCGTTGCCATCAACAGCACTTTCTTGATCCTGAGGATCCTTCCACCTGAGGAATTTTAGGAGCTCTGTTGATAGCAACCCATTGACATATTGCGTTCCCCCTAACATTTTCAGCAATCCATTTTTCCCATCAACATCCTGTATTCTCCTGACAGCCTCCTTTACTTGCGTTCCAAATGTTCATGGTGTTTCGTCGGGATAGAGCCGGAGCTCTGAAAACCCATACGTACGACTCTCCCGAGTCTTACGTATAAGCCCGACCCCCTCCGATTTCTATGGAATCCGGCATGTTGATAGTACAAATTGAGAAAACAAGCCACAGCAAATTTCAGATCCATGCATGATGTATTTTGAGAATGACGTACAATAATAAATTCGACTATTTTTGGGGCACTTTCGGCCGAGGGATCACAATAATTGTAATAACTCACTTAATGATGAAGATAAATACGACAATATGGTATCATTGGATAGGCTATAAAATTCCCCATCAGAATAAATGTAACACACGGTTATGAAAGCAATGACCTTGGCGTACATGTTTTGTGATGACCTTAAAACTTGACTTGACCATAAGTTCCTACACTCAATTTCCCTAACATTGTAAGGCCTCATTTGTCACGATCTCATTATGTGCACCAAAAATTTTATTCTGGGTTTTTTAATATCAACAGAGATATGAGCATTTTTGTGCATGACCTTCATAACATGCACCGGTATTACACAACTTCAGAGCCATGGGCTCGTACTTGCGCTTCTTATCCCAAATTATCTGTCCTGAAGGTTACGAAGTAGAAGTACATCAGTTCACAGAGCATGTACGATATCTTACGCTTCAGAACTTTGACAGAACAACCCATCCGTCAGTGGCCTACGTCGTGGACGAAGGGGCTGTAGCACATTTAAAAATGTGGTTATTTTAGATTCATCGAACCAATACTTTTCAAACAGTGCATTTATTCATGAAGTCACCAATGCAAATCGGCTTCTCGAAAGGGAGGGGAAGCAACTTTCACCAAAAATCTGAGTTTTGCTCTCGTCTCGTTATCTCACGGAAGAATGAAGAGACGAGAGTTGCCGTTGAACTAGCAATGGAACAGTGGTATCGCTCACTGTAGTGCCTCCCGCTTGATGCTGGGAATCCAGGGATTTTAAGCGTCCCTGATGTAATAGAGGCTTTCTTTTCTTCGCTTCCAATCGCATTCGCCTACTTTGCTCAACTCGCATGATAGGGTGCCGAGAAGAACCATGGGTCATATGAGATCTGGAGGCTTCATGAATATTACATGGCCCAAGTAGCACATAACGCTTTTCAGAACATTCAACACGTTTTCAAGGAGGTCTTTGGACATCCTATATACCAGAATTAACATATTTTTGGCGCTCAGTTGAGGTGCCTTATAATCACAAAACATAGTGCATTTGAAGGACATTCCTCGATCGTTTAAGATGCTTTCCTGAACCAGGAATCCTCCGCAGGAATCAGTGAGGGAGATACTTGAATACGAATCAGTCTTTAGAGGTTACCTAGTCCAGGGATTCTACATAGAAATCTGGCTCGAAAGATGGAAGGAGGATGGTTTCCAATTCATAAGTTGACTTCATGGGAAATTATGTCACTGGTCATCATCGTCTATCTCATGAAAAAGGATTTCCATGGAGCGCATATCGGACTCCTGAATATAAGATAGCTGCAGTTAGGATGGAAATATATTCTGTAAGGCTGAATTTCCTCCAGCTTCTCCACCAGACTATCACGGACAACGTTAGAGAATGTGGGAAAAGAACGGAACGGAACGGAAAAGAACAATTTTTCTGTCCGATTATCGCATCCGTCGTTTCTTAGAGCCCATAATTAACCAGCCCATTGGGCGATCACATTGTTTTGCTCCTCTCTGAAACTATCAATACCTGCTGGTCAAGCCTTGGTATGAATTAATCTTCGGTGGCGAAAAACGGGTGTACCTAGGTATCGGTCACACCGAAATGCAACACGCCGAATCGCAGATGTTGAAACTAGACTCGAATGACACCGCTTCGAGTCTCACAGATGCGCTCCAAGGGTCGAACGCGGAATTCCTCATTCTCACTCAGTAATATTTACAGCCAGCGGCAGCTGCCATTTTGATTAATGTCTGCCAGATTTATACGCTTGTTTCTATGACCATCCGTTGTCTTGACAAATTTGATTAGAGTTCAATGTTAAACAGTTCTTGAGTTACTGGTTTAGCAAAATCGGATGGTTGGTGACCCTAAATATTGACCAACCTGTGGTATTTGACCTACCGAGTGTGAAATGTGATATTTTCCGGTTTTGGAGCTGGGGAACTGTGTGTTCAAAACTGAATAAAATAGGAGGAGAATAATTCGGAGGTTCGGGAGTTCATTTGGAAATGTTTAAGTGACATTTCATGGAGTGAGTAATGTAGTCTACCATATGCTGCAAGACCCACGGCAGCATTAGATCTGTAATATTTGTGCAGTATCGTGTTTTCACAGTCGGTAACTAACGGAATATTCTGGGGACATTCGTAAATGATGGTCATTATATTCATTAAACTCTGAGATCTGTCTTATAGAAGAAATTGAAATGTAGATACCATTGAAAGAGAAGATTTGGAGTCCACAGCTCGGAATATGCATGCTAATTCTTTCCTAGCCACTCTCGTACATGCATACACCATACGAATGTACAGTTCGACTGCCGCGTGAACAGTAAATTTCCAATGTTAAACCGAACAGTTCTAAGGAAACAGTTGAATATTGGAAATATGGTACTCAAGGTACTGATTTGACTGCAAGTTTTTATTCAAATTTTCATACCCTCAGGGAACATTTTTTGCAAGGCCATATTTAAAGAAATACATTAATTTAAGAACGTGTTTGGCATATTGACTTCAAGGGAATCACTATTTGTGAAACGCATCCCATCAGCACAATTTGTTCTAGCAGTGCATTTTTGCTAATCCGAAAGTTGGAAATATGCATATCTAACATCTGTTAGATAACACGGTTTTCTGGGTTCCGATTCAGGAAAAAAAATAGCGCGCAAATTTATCGTCTCTTGATTGGGAATTATTTATATGAATTTTTTTCCCTTTAATGAACCGGAATGACATCGAATGTTGAAACTTTGTATAGATGTACCTGTGGAGATATATGACATACATGATATGGAAGATATGGAGAACATCGTATATAAAGAGGATATGTAATAAATGGAAGTAAATCATAGATTTCCAGATACATTCCCCTTACTGCAATCATTTTTTGCAGATGTGCCCAAGAACACTGTACTGTCCCAGTGAAACAGGAACATGTAGGATGCTAGAGTTCTGCCTCTTAAGGAAATATTGACTTTTGAGGTCATTCTCTTGGGACACAACTTTTTTTTCATTGATGTTTTGAAGAAAATTTTCCCGGCTGTAAATCACCAGTAGCGAAAATTTGAAACTGGGGTATTTTATTAATTTCGATTAGATTTGAGGACATTTCTTAAAGGTAACGACGTTCATACGGAGAACCACTTCATTAAAGGATTATTATTGATGTGGTAACATTCATCCGGTCATCCAGATACTCATGGTTAGACTTGCTGTGACGTAGACCAATGGAAAGGGACACTATATGAATTCGACCTGGAACTTCTGAATAAGAGAAAATGAGAGGGAGAGAGAGGAGGGTGCTCCAGAATTCGTTACTCTCTCCAAGTGTCCGGAGTATGGTCCCATCCGTAAACTGGAATCTGGCTATTTTATTCGCTTGGGAGTAAGTGTATATATCATCACCCTAAAGAACGCTCTGTATGAAGGATAAAATCTACGGCGACATCTCTAAGAAAATGAAGAGTCTCTGCTTGCTTCTTGTTACATCTAGCCCGCAATGACTTCACACAACCAGAAGTAACTTAAAACAACTATGCAAAATACTTATAAAGCTAGGAGTTTTTTGTGTAATAAAATCGTAAAGGATGCGTAAATTAAAAAAAATATATTTTGGATCCCAGAGCTCTGAGGCGAGCTTATTTCATTCATATATAGTCCTTATTTTTGTGACGCATTAGTATGATTACAAAATTGTTTTACATCATAGATGGAAGCCATACCTCGTAATTACTCCCTTTAACATCATGGACAGTTTTTTCTGGAAAGGAGTTATATTTTAATTTTTTTCCCCATTGTTAATTTTGAGTCTTCGATTTTAAAATATTCTATGAAGATAGATTTAATTTCATTTACTTGAAATATTTTATGCCCTTCAAATATAATGTTTGCAATTATCCAGGTTCGGAGATGGACCAAAGGGAAAAATTTGTCAAATGGCACCGATTTCATTTGGTACTTGGCATGTATATTGCTGTGCTCTATATTCAAATATATTTGCGCAGCATGCAGATTTTCCCCTTCAGTCCTACGGATTCTTAATGTATGGAACCAGATGAGTACAAGAGAATAATGGTAATTAATCTCGCTACACCTGAGTCTCGGAACCTTTTTGTGAAACATTAAGTCCCATTTTGCCCTCTTCGATATAAATACTCATGGGGTTCTTCAAAATGGCGAATATGGAACTGAAGAATCTTCGTTTGGTAGCATCTGACTGAAAAAGTACAGGGTGTTCATGAAGTCCTTTTCCAACGAAAAAATACCTCTATTTTCAATTGTCCGCACGTTCCAGATTCGCAACGGACTATTTCCTCAGAAACATCCTCACATAATTTGTGTCCCAAGGGAATGACTTAAAAAGTCAGTATTTGTTGGAAGGCACATTTCTTAGAACAGTGTGCTTACAGAACTTTAGCTTTAGGTGTTCCCTCTGAACTTTGTCATCTCTGCTTTCACCTTTGCTTCATTGATTGCAGCGATGGCATCGTCCCAGGATTTCTTTGCCTGTTTTACTTTCGAAAGGATCTGATGAAGCAAATCATCATTCACCAGATCCTTTGCATCCTTCACTTTCGCCTCTTCGCACGCCTTCCTTGCGGCCAGCAACTTTTCCGAAGCAGCTCCCCAGGCCTTCTCTAAACCTGCGTGTGACTCTGCCAGTGTCAAATCCTCTTTATATTTTGTCACCTCCGCCTGCTTCCGCCAATATTCCACAGAACTCGCTTCTCGTTTAGCTTCTTCTTCTACTGCCCTCCTGTAGGCCCATGCGATCGTAACGCAGTCAGTTAAATTTTTCAACAATATTTCAAGTTCCTTTACCAAATCATACTTGGGAGCATTCCAATACAGCTCCGATTTTTTGTCCAGTATGCTTTTCGTCTTAGTGTTTTGTTCGGACGATTCTGCTGTTGATCCAAACTCCGGCATGTTCAATTCTGGATCCTTGCGATCCCAATCCAAAGATGAGGGGTGCAATCCAATCCAGGCAACTAGATAGGATTCTTTACCTTCAGATGCTGACTTGAATGCAGTATCTTCTTTGCTGAGGCTGCTAGCTGTGTCTTTGGATCCTTGGTTCCATGAATGCAACGGAACTATGCCTATGAATATTCCGGAAGAAAAGGAAATGGCGGTAACTATGGCAATGAATACAATTTGTACTCTGGTCAACCTTTTTAGCTTGGATATTGCCCGGTGAGAAGTTCTTCCATTTTCAGTATGTTCATCGAAATTTTCCTCGATTTCCTCCTGCTTAAGGGGTTCCATTTCTAGTAAATAGAATGGGAAAATAACATTCCACTTGAGAAAATTTGACTGTAGTAATGGATATTGATTGATATATTGTAAATCACCCTAACTTTTGCCTTCACGATTGGTTTAGTTTTGCAAGTAATACATTTCATTATAACCTATTGAAGGGACACGAACACGGTCAGTGGTTTAATACCCAAACTTCCATGTTATTTGGCGAATCTGTAAGAGAGCTCACATGTAATCTATAACCGAAATTCAATTGTGTAAATGAAAAAAGTCAAGGTATTGAAAATAATATTTGAATAGTAATTACAGGGTCACATCCATTGCTTTCCAATACATGTGTAGCTAAACGATAATGAAGTTTGAGCCAAAGGAACCAGTTCTAATCATGTTCTGAATATCATGAGGCGATGAAAGTACGAAAATGGCTCTGTGGTGCATAGATAAGGAAATATTCCATTTTCGGAGTAGTTTTCCGCTCTCAGGCTTATATCCGTCCTGTTTTAACGTACGGATTTGCGGCCTGGGCCAATGTCTCCGATGCCACCTTGGACACACTTGCACGCATTGAACGAGCTGCGATTAAGTTCGCGTACAGAATCCCACGGCACTACCCCTCTGATTACATCTATAGGGTCAGTGGCCATACACCTCTTGACGTGTACGTCGCAGATTTAGCTCTCTCCTTCTATGAGAAGGACACTTGCCCTGAAGACGTACAGGAATACCTGACAATATACGACAGAAAGCACAAAGGACGACGACGAGCGTTCAGAGCTGAATATCCCATCTTCGGCATACGCTGTCGAATAGCCAGTTGGGAAGATTATATCACTAACACACTTGATGATCTCCCAAATGACTCAACTACTCATTCTTGCTGCCTCCAACCCTCGCCTATAATTTGACCATTTTTTTGTTCCCCTGGCCGCCTTTTAGGTCTTTTCCAATCCCTCACTCTTTAATTCATCAAGCCCCCTATATACCCCATAAAGGGGACTTTGATCTCATCTACCCCTTCGTACATCTATGCAGCCACAACTGCCCTAATCGCTTCCATCCTCCACCAATTAAGGCAGCTCATTGTCAATCGTGTGATATCTCTCTTTAGCTAGTCTGCCTTATTAAGCAGCTATCCTCTCTATCTGTCGGGAGAAGCAGGCAGCCTGATAATGTTTTTCTTAACAGCTGGCACCTGTCAATCCTAAGTATTGATAGCTCACGAGGCGCCTGATAGGTACCTAAAACGCATATAAATGCTATTACTAAATGGATGCTATTTAATAATATTTAAAAATAGGTTCAACATTGCCCCAACGTGTTTTCATTTTTAAAAGTTAAACGAATAGGTCTCATCATTTTCTTGGCTGCTATTGCAACTGTCCTAATTACGGAGTAATCTGTAAAACAGACGGGAGAAACCTCAGTCTCCGATCGGAACAATGGGAACCATTCTCATTGTCTAAATCAGCTTCGAGGGGGTCTTGCACCTGCCAGTCCGCTCGCAGGAGGGTTTCACCGGGACTGACGGGATCCCTGATATACACACCATGAGGAAGAGGCCATTACCACCATTAGCTCCTATTCTTTAAATAAAAAAGCCACCTCCACTAGTACAATACCTTCTCTATCCTTACTGGAAGAGAGCTCCTTACAACAACTATTCCTCCTCCCGAGGTCCTTGTACGGGAGGAGGAACTAATGAGTCAGCTTGGTACCCTTGAGTGCCGGTGAGGATGAGTACTTGTGTACTCGTGTATTCGTCAAAGTAACCTTGAGTTCCAAAGCATGGAAAGGAATGGGAGAATTCCCTTCAAATGTATGAATTGGCTTATTAAATACGGATTAATGTTATGGAAAAATTTACATCAATTTTACGTAAAATGAATGTAAACAGGCTGTTTGGGATGCAGACGGCATTATTAATTTTACGTAAAATTTATGCTAATTTTATATCACCGTTTGCGTATTACAATGGCGGCATTTCTGCAAACATGTTCACATTACATTGATGATGGTTTGCGTAAAATATATATAAAATGGGCAAACAATTTACATTCATTTTACGTAAAACAGAAACATGCTGCTTGGGTGGTGTCATGGGTGTATAAGGACGTAGTTGTAGTTTTCATGTGTGACATATTAGAAGATAATTTAATTCTGAAATCGTTTCTTTATATTAGAAAATGAACAAAAAACCAAAACAGGCTGTCTTTTCCTCAATCTTAAATTCCAATTGCGCAGGAAAGACTAAATCTTGATACTACATCTTTTGAAGGATAAGTTGCTGTCAAAGAATGGAACTATCATATTACTACGAACACAATGGAGTCCAGACATAGGCGTCATGCATACCGTACTTGTTTGCTCAGGAGATGATGGGAGTTCAATTCGGAAACAATGTGAGCACCTGCTTCATGTACAATTGGCTGTGACTTGGTTAGTATTGAAAGAATCCAGCACTCAACACAAGGACGACGCACCTAATTACAGTCCACACATCACTTCCATGTAGATGGAAGCGACATTCCAGTGACGTATGATTTCGTTTTCCCTGGAGAACAACCTGTCTCCTTCGCACAGAATGAAGGACTGTAGATAGGGGGCACTCAACGCCATAAGTGTTATTTCTTCTTATTGGGATTGAAAGGCCATCTCTTGTGAAAGATAAGTTCTCATATCAAAGTCAAACATATCTGTCACGACTGACTCATTAGGCAGAACTAAAAAAATGCGAGCTCTCTCGTCGACTGTTCCCCGACTCGATACTTGTGGAGTGGAGGACCTGTCCCGCATGTGACGTGTCTGGTGAGAGCAAATTGCGATAAATGCGCAGATTCCATATTACATACCTCAAGATCTGCCTGTTGACACGATGGAGATCTCTGGCGCACATGAACAAACAGCGAAACGAAGACCATGATCTGGCAAATTACAAGAGAGCATAAGCGAAAGAGCAGCTGCTGATCGTCTCAGTCGATGATCATTGTGCTGAATAACCTCTAGAGTACCTGATTAGAACGGAGGGAGTCGAAGTATCCCATATAGAAACTTTGCCACAAGGGTCCCGTGAAATCCAGAAAGGAGGTCGATATGCTGAATTTTCGACTATAGGCGCAAAGGATGTGAATGATGATGGAGCATAATTGAACCCTAGTAAAAATAGTATCTCCTACAGCAATGCATCAGCATCAAGAATACTTATTTCACGAATGCCAACAACTCTCAACAAGAAGGAATCAAGGTAGCAGAAGGAACGGTGTGAATCCCTTCAATACTGAACACTACCAAGAGGTGGTGCCGTAGTCGCTTGAACTTGGCCTCTGTCAAGTCGTCTAACGAATACTCCAGTCGCTGGTAAGCTACTAGCTAATGTTGTAGATGTTACCTGTGCACGGTTAACCCTAAACCGGAATAAGCAATGAAATATAGCCTGAATGGATCTCTCTTAAACGTTTAAGCCGCATAAATGCATCTGCATTGCTTAGGCTACACTCTTACAAAATTCCGAGCTTTCGAGGAGTAAAAAGTGAGCACCCCGTGAGCTTTTCGAATTTACTCTCTTATTACTCACCAAATGCTCCCTCACCGCTCGTATTGAAGTGAACACCTTGAAGTTCTTCTCCAGGCCACTAGATGGAGGCAAGGGTCTCGCTTTTCACACAGTACACATAATTTCCCTTCACTCTTTCCCTGGAATAGTCCCTCGCAAGATTGTTTAGTACCTTGCCATACGTCTCGCCTAGTCTCATTATAGGAATAAATAAACACTGATACTTCATCATTTGTTTTCCACATATTCAAGACATATTCATAGAGTCCAGGCCATAAACAAGCTCATATTCCTATTGAGAACCCTTTTGGGAGGCGTAAGATTTTATCCGCATAGGAGATCTAGAATGTACAAAGTGTCCGTCAACTTCATTCAATCATACATCAGGTAGATGAGGTAGTACGGGACTGATATCCCGGACACTCCTATAAGAGATAGCCCAGCCTCTGACGTGTTCTGTAATCAGTAGGATCAGTACGTAGATCAACTCCAGTGCGAGAGCGACACACATTATAAAAGGGAATTTTCATATTTGCATGACATTCCTATCACTTTCTGATGGGAGCGTTTTTACTCACGGAGGAGGAGAGCAATTTTTATTCCTTGGTGATGGAGTAAATTCGCTCCTTTCCCAGAGTGAAAGGGGGGTGAAACTGGAGTTAGCTATTTTATCTCTTTTTTGAGAAAAATCGCCCCCCCTTTTCTAAGAGTGTAGGCAATCGTCTTACAGCCTGAGCTAGTGAAGGATCAACGAAGAAGGACTTTTCACCTAGGACCACCAAGGAATTTCTTTCATCAATCGGTTTCGTGACTTGTACAGCGCCTTCTTTTGCTATTTCTGTATTAGGTTGAACTTAACTGTCTATTCGCAAAGGCTATCCATGTTTCAAGTTTATTTCAGCGTATTGAATCATTATCTATTCATGAACATATTCGTTCACCCCCTATCATATACCGGCTCTCAAACTACATTAAAGCAATCCCAATCGAACTTGATCCTAGAGTGCAATAATATTCATGATTCAACACGTAACATCAATTACTTGTTCACTCGAATCGGACTAGCCTGCCTCCCAAACCCTAGTGTCATCCCGCAATCTGTCTCTTGGAAAACGAGAGTTTTACTGCCTGCGCAGCGTGTACGAATTCGACAACTAGGGGTGTCTTCTAATCTCGTCGGACTTCGAGGGTTTCGAGGTCGCAGTGCCTATCGCGTTTTCCTTTACTCGTAATCGCTTGTGCGTTATCTTGTCTCTCCCTCTCTTGCATGGAATTTGTATCAACTGAACTCATGCGTGAACGTTTTACCTGTCACATTAGCTTTATTCGATCTTCCATGACGCGTTTCAGAAGCGGCCTGGGGCTCGAATCAAAAACACTACCTAATTATAGGCAATGTAGCCTTGGAGCAGGTTAGAGTCAGTTGTATGATCCAAGACTGAAAGACGGTGCTTGGAATCATCTCTACTTTCATTAACCTAGTTTCCCTGATACCTCCTGAAGCGTTCCATACCGTTTCGGAAAAAAAAAAAACTTGGGATGCTCTCCGGGGGACACTCAATTCGAGGCGTACGAGGGATTGGGTAATACTGTTTAAGTATCAGGTTAATTCATGAATAATTTCCGTTTGTTGCCAACTGTTTTGAAACGATTGTAACTTGTTACAAGTTTGACGCGATAAATCGTGTTATATGTCATTCGATCGAGAAGACTGCAGACTTTTTCATAATATGCAATTTATTGTCTTTCCGATTTCATGTTGAAATAATAAGGGTAAAATGGATGATGAAAAAAACTCATATTCGGCAGTGCAATTTGTGGGAGATCCAGCAAGGCTCAAATGCAACGGAGACAGCGAGGAAGATATGCACCTCCTTTGGAGAGGACGCCATCACCGCTCACCAGTGCAGGAATTGATTCATAATGTTTCCGTTAAGAGAATTATCGCTCAAGGATGAACCACGTCCTGGTCGCCCTTCGGAGTTTGATAGCGATGCATTGGAAGTGCTAATCGAGGCTAACCCACGTAAAACCCCTGTACCCAACTTGCTGACTTTTCCAAGAGGAAGATGGCGGCGAAATACCGTCGGTTGGGAAGTACCAAGTTCTTCGTTCAATTCTTGGGTGGATTTACGTGGGTTGGCTTCGATTCAACGATCTCCAAAGGGCGACTAGGACGTGGTTCATCCTTGAGCGATAATTCTCTTGACCGAAACTTTGTGAATCAATTCCTGCACTGGTGATCGGTGATGGTGTCCTCTCCAAAGAAGGTGCATATCTTCCTCGCTGTCTCCGTTTCATTTGAGCCTTGCTGGAACTCCCACAAAATGCACTGCCAAATATGCGTTTTTTTATCATCCATTTTACCTTTATTATTTCAACATAAAATTGGAAAGACAATAAATTGCATATTATCAAAAAGTCTACAGTTTTCTCGATCGAATGACAGCACGATTTATCGCGTCAAACTTGAAACAAGTTACAATCGTTTCAAAACAGTTGGCAACAAACGGAAATTATTCATGAATTGACCTGATAATTGGTTTTAGCGAAGCGGGTAGGAATGAATTGCATTTGAGAAACTTTGGCCAGTATTGGGAAGACGGCCCTCCGAGTACAAATAGAAAATATGCTTTCAGTGCTAATATAAATTATTCCGAAGTGAGGGAGACAAGTGCTCAGGTGGAGGAAATTTGGAGGCTTTCATTAAAGAAGTAAGAAATGGCTCTGAGAATTATACCTTTCAGTATTGTTGGAAACCTATCCACAATCTTCAGTAATTCTAAAAGATCATGGAGTATAAAGGGACCGTTGGCGAACTTGTTAATATCTTACTCCCCAATTGCTTGGCAATTCAAGCCTCATCGCTCGTTATTCTAACGTGCTTCTATGGCCGCCTCTCCTTCCCAGAAAGAACCAAACTCGCTAGTCTGCTAGGTGGCAACGAGTCATTCGGCTCCATACGAGTCCGTACAGGTGACCATAATGAGGTTCCTGTTTGCTACTCCCATTGTGTGGGTTTCAATGTTGAGGAAAGGTAGACGAACTGTGGCATCGCCAGGAATTGAATCTGGGCCTCCTGATTCCTGGTCAGGTGTGCTACCACTACACCACCGAACCCAGGACATCCAGTCACGCATCTCGACGATCTCCTCATCCGTCATCCGTATAATTGTATAATATAACAATGTATATTTAAAAACTTCCCCCAAATTGTGTACCCCCAGGGCTTGTACCACGAAAGTCTGATTTTTTTCTGAACTCTGCATGTGTACATGTGGTACATGCGTACCAAGTTTCAGATTTCTAACTTCTCTAGAACATGGTTAGAATTAGCGTCAGTCAATCACGATCGTCTATGTATCTTAAAAGGAGCAGAGTGACTTGGTGGAAACGTGCTGGGCCCATAACCTAAAAGTCTGCGAATCGAAACAGCGCTCTGATAATGGTTTTCTTTTTTCTTCTATTCCCAAAACTCGTACGATTACTTCCTTCAAGAGTTACCGTTTTCTCCAGGTCCTTGCTCACATGCGAGAGATCGATTGATACGGTACTTTTGAAATACTAGTGTGTCCCCTTAGCGTAGATTATAGAAGGAAAATATTTCAAAATGTATTCTCCACCCTTACAAAAAGGGACACATGGAAAGATTTCGAGTTAGGCGCACTAGAAGTAATGATTCTGATAAAAGTCAAGTCTTTCGTTCAAAATTTCACGTATTTCAATGGGGACGCACTCTAAATACGTGTTTCCCATTTCGCAGAGAATGAATGAAGCACTATCCATTGTAATAGAGCGCCGAATGCGCGACATAAAATTCAACGGTGACATTCAAGCGAATTTCTTGGGAAATTGTCATTCCCGTTTGCATCCCCATGCAGCATGTCTACATTCGTTTTATATAAAATTAATGGCAATTTTTTTCCCTTAACATTCATGCCTGTTTAACGAGCCAATTCGTAATTTCCAAGGGAAATGTTTCAATGTATTTATCTCATTCCTTTCTATCCTTGGCAACTCCAGGG